TAATAATAATAATAATAATAATAATAATAATAATGATAATCATAATAATAATAACAACAACAATAATAACAATAACAATAATAATAATAATAATAATAATAATAATAATAATAATAATAATAATAGCAATTCCCTCTTAACAATAATACGAAATATCTGAAACTAATAGAAACATACCAGAAACACTTCTCAGCACTTTCACGAAGCATATTGACGCATTCTGTTACACGTTCCGTGTTTTTGGACATGCACAATGATATGGCTGAATTACGGGACTGCATTAAGGCAATATAAACTCTAGCCATTGACAATGCACGGTTGGACTGTGAATCATCCGAACTACTCGAAATGTCAAATTCTTCCGCCACATTACATAACCTGAGAAATATTTTTTTTAGAAAAAACAGTTATTGTTAGAAATCAAACAACTGAAAAACTTAAAAGACTAATATTCCATTTTATAAAAATCTAGTTATTTTCATAGGTCGATTGCAATTTCAACAAAACCAACTTATAAAACTATCGGGAAATGTGGATGTTATTTTTCGATGTTCTTTTATTAATCTCTAAAAAAAGCCGTTTTTTTTTCTCCAGTGATTCAATTTTATCTTCATAACTGAAGCCGTTTTTTTTTTCTACAGATATTCGCAAAAACCTTAGAGAAAATATACTTTCTGGAGTATTCTGTAGAGGACTATCGGGAACGATGCAAATAAATTTTTAGAAAATTATGTCCATGAGATGCTCTCACCGTTTTAACATTTCAAGAACTGCTACTGAAAACTGCTCTCGTAGTTGTGTGATACTTTCCTCTTTGCCAATTGATTCATATTCCTTTATACAATCTAATAGCGAGCGTAAACCATCATCGAATTCTTTGATGACGCTAAAATATCGTTTCAGATAAATGGCGTGGCTATTTTTCCACAAAAAATTTTATCATTTAACATCTTAATATCATAATAGATATAGACTGAGACCAATCTGAAAGGTGACCCGCAGACTAAGCCGTCTTCCTCTACTGAAACAAATTAACAACATGTAGGGGGGAGGGGGTTTGCTATCCCATTAGAGGAATCGAAACCTCGGTTCTCTACTTGAGGAGAGTGCTACAAGTTACTACACCACACCCAGTAACGATGAAGCTAATGTAGAAGGAAAATGTAGCGAACTGAAACGTTAAAACAGTTCTGGAAAAAACACAGGACGAATATGCGCTTCAACAGAAGGAGTACTGAGAAACCCGCAATCAGGCAAATGCACAAAAACGTAATTCACTTTGAACAAACTGCTTCTTAAAAGCACACTAATATTTAAGGCCCAAATTCAATTTTACTTATAAATCTTTTAGAAAATTTGCAGCTGACAAAAAGAAAACACAACCTCATTAATTCCCGTGAAACACCAGCCGCAAGAAGTGAATCGAATTTTGGTGCTCGCTTTTTGAATAAAGCCGGCGGATGACAAACAACGTTGCGAATTTTTTCTAGAAGTGTCTCCTCCAATTTTGCCAACTCACTTATGACCATTTCCTTAAAAACAAGAACACTTACTATTCATGCACAAAAATAGTGTCTGCAGAAAATATTGTTATCGAAAATACTGGAAAATCAAACCTGGAACCTTATGATAAGCATATTCCCGAAAAATTTTCGATATATTTCCATACTGTCACCAATCAGAGGCCAATTCT